CAGGGCACCCCAAGCCTCTTGGAGCTTCCCAAACCCCTCAGAGCATGCTGGAGCACCCTAGGGTGCTATGAGCACCCCAAGTTCCTCGGAGCACCCTGGATTCCTGGGAACACCCCGAGTCCCTCAGGTCACACATGGCTCCTAAGAGCAACCCAAGCCCCTCGGAGCCTCCCAGGACCCTCAGGGCCGCTGCAGCCCCTCAGAGACCCCCAAACCCCTCCGAGCCCCCGGAGCCGTTCAGAGCACCCCAGGGAATGCCCTGAGCTGCCCCAACTCTTGCAGAGCTCCCTGTGATGTCTGATGGCAACAGGAGAATTTACGACACATTTTAATTTACAACGTGCATTTGAACCCCGTGACCGGTGGCCGGAGCGTGTGCCGGGGCAGGCGGGGGGCTCGCTGGGCTGGCAGGAGCCGCTGTCACAGCTTGTGCTTCCTCCCTCCGCCTCGGCGCTCACCGGCTCAGCGATCACATGAGCCCCTTGTTCCGAGCCTTTGTCTCTCATCTCCTACGGCGAGGAGCTGCGTTTTGGGAAGCTTCTGCAACCTCTGCCCGTAGACCACGCAGAGATGCTCAAATAGGATTATTTGTCCCATTTACCCTCCTGGGGTGGGTTCGGAAAAGTCTTCTGTGCTTGGCGATATGTATAAACCCCCTGGTTCGTTTGGGGGGGTGGGGATGAGCTGTATTAATTATTAACTGTATCAGCACCCAAGGCTGCTCTGGGTGACCAGTAGCTGCAAACCCTCCTGCTCACCCTCGTTGCTGTCAGCTCCCCAAAAAGAATTTTTCTGGGGTCCTTGTTCACCGCAGGGGCCCGAGCACAGGAGTTTGGTGCCGGCGGGTTCTCAGTGAGACTGAACCTGCAGAAAAACCTTGCAAAAAGCAACACCAGATTTTCAGTGGCTCTGGGATTTGGGGTTCCAGGGCAGGTTTTGCACTGGCACAGGGGGTGTCACATCTCCTGTGGCCACTGTGGGGACAATGGCAGGTCAGTGGCGCCTGGGCCGGAGCATCGCGCTCAGGGATGCAGAACGGAGGGTCCTGGGGAATGGAGGGAAGTGTTGGGCGCCATCCCACGGGAGGTGACAGGTGACAGCAAAATGATAGAGGTGCCACCAGCTCCCTGAAAACCAGGGCCTGGGCCGAGCAGACTGCGATGCTGCCGTGCTGCTGCCGTGTCCGAAAACGCACCCACGTTGGTCGGCTTCGCTCCGGCGGGACGCTGCGGGGGGGGAGATGGGGGCAGGCTGCAGTGAGCTCTGCCTGCATCCGTCCCGCCTGCCCTCTCCGGACCTGCCCGTTAGCATCTGCTCCAGAGGCATTTTCCCAGCTTTTCCAGTGAAAAAAAAACAGCTTAAAAGCTGTCACTGGGGGGTCTCCTGCAACTGGGAAATGGAGAGGGGCATCAACCAGCGCATCCGTGAGGGAGAGGAGGGAGGTGTCAGCATGAGCTGTAACATCCGAATGTGCAGCGGGGTTTGACCCTGGAGCACGGGGAGATCCCTGCCCTGAGAGCGGACAGACCTACCACAATGTTGCCGAGGAAATAATTTTCTGATTTCTTGAAAAAAATTGCCAGTGCTCCAGCTGAGCTCTTGGTGCAGAGGATGCTCCTTACGTCGGAGACCGTCGGTCCCCAGGGGACTGTCTGCGGGCCCTGGGGACAGGCGGTGACATGGAGGGTTGATGCAGAGTTGGCGTTTCCAGCCGGGAAGTGGGGACCTGGGAGAGGTTCCCTACAGACTCAAGGACTCGTGCTACCAGCAAATGCTCCGGCAGCACCGAAGCTCCGCTGCTTCAGGGATGGCCACGAAAACGTGGCCGTGCCACACGGACGATGCACAAGGGGCTGAGCAGGGAGACGTAGCCCTGCCTCGACCCTTCTAACGCTTTCTTCCTCAACAGAAAATTAGTGAGACCTGTGTTCCCATCAAAAACCGCATTCCCCCCTCCTGATAAAACAAAGCTGCTGGGAACTTTCTGCGTGGCGTTTGCCTCCCCCAGGCTGTGCCGCTTTGGGCAGACCCCAGCAACCCAACCCCTCCAGCCAGGGCTGAATTCCCCCTCCCAGGCTCCACCAGCCCCTGGCCCTGCCCCAGACCCCCGCTCGGGGGCTGACCCACCCTCCAGCCAGTCCCAGCTACGGGAAAACAACAACAAAAAACCCCAATGCAACCCCCAAACAAAGCCACAAGCCTGGGGGCAGATGGAGAAATAATCCGGCCTGGATTTGCCCCCTCCTCTGATTTCTTGCCTGATGGGCTGCGATCCCAGCGCCACCCGTTGCTGCAGTAGCAGCTGCTGAGCTAAAGCCGGGCTCAGAACTAAAGCCGGGCTCAGTGCGACCGGCTGGGAGCCGTGCTGGGGCAGAAAACCTGGGAAAATGCCTCGAACAGAAACTAACGGGCAGGTCTGGCAAGACCAGGAGGGGTGGGTGGATGCAGGTGGGCCTTGTTGAACCCAGCTGGGCCCATCCCTGGGGAGATTCCACGGGGACGTTTGGGCGTCACGGAGCTCTTGGGCAAAAACTCACCCTCTAACCAGCTGCAGATGTGCATGCTGCAGCCACTCCACAGCCCTCTCACGGATTATTTTTGTTATTATCCTCATTTTATTCTTAACTTTGACGTTAAGACGCTACTGAGGAATCTCCTGAAATGAGGGACTTCTCAGATGCTTTTTGCTCTGAGTTGGTGTTTGGCTTTTGCACGTCGCAGCCTCGTGCCGAGGCTCTGTGAGGCCGAGCTGATTTAATTTTGGGGACCACCTGATGCAGCGCACGTGAAGGAACTGTCCCCACGCGCCCATCGGCATCGAGCCCTGCTGCCGATGCTCCCGGTCATGCAACGGGACCTGCTGCTTCTCCTGGCTGGAAAATCCTTTGAAACTGCGGGTGGGGGCAGGCGGGGGGAGCATCTAGAGAGACCCCGGCCCCAGCCAGGAGCGAGAGAGGCTGGAGCCGCTCCTGCAGTCGCTGCTTCCCGGCGCCTTGGCGAGGAGGGGTCCTGTGGGTTTGTGGTGGGGATTTTTGCCGGTAGATGCTGTCGGCTGGACCTTGCCACAGAGCAGGAGTCTGGCGATGTGTGGGATGGAAGCTGGGAGGGGGGCGGGAACTTTTCGGAGGTTTTGTGGGCCACCCCTGGGGTGGGAGAAGTGGGAAGGGAAGGTTCTGGCTTCAAAAAAACCTGCCTGCTGCTCCCCATGGGGGGCCACGCACAAACCCCCCAGGGTGAAGGGCTGCCTTTGCAGCGTGTCCCCCCCCACACACACAGGGATGCTGCAAAGCCCCTCTCAAGGTGGGATCTCCTGCCCGCTTGGCCCTGGAGGTCCCCGGCTGGGAGGGTGAGTCCCACTGCCACAGGGCACCGAGGAGGAGGAGGAGGAGGAGGAGGAGGAGGAGGAAGCAGTTGCCATCGCTCCGTGCCGGGGTTTAACGTCTCGCCCTTGCGCTCGGTGTAGCATCGCCGGGAGAAGCCGCCGTCGGCAGCGCAGACCTCGCCCCGTGCCCACCACTGGCCAGGCCATGAAGACAGAGAAGGACGAGGCTGTGCCCACCTTCTCCCTGGGGGGTAAATACACCGGAGAGGGGGCAGGTGAGTCCCTTGTGCCACGGTGGGGGGGCTTGGTGAGAGGAGTCGGGGCAGGACGAGCCTTTGCTCCTGTTGCTGTGAGGGCCTTTGGCTGAATCCCACCCCAGAGGGGGGGGCTGGGAGCACCCTGAGGGTGGGCACGGGTGGGCACGTGGCATCACCCAGCGTGTTCAAGACACCAGCAGGCTTTGCCTTCGTACCAGCAGCTTTTTCTAGAGCAGAGACCCCGTTTCTAACCACCCTGGAGGGCTCCTGCCTCTCCAGCCCCTTCCAAACCAGACCCCCCCCATTCACCTGCACCCCTGTTTGTAAAGGGCAGAGAGGGAGGAGGTTTAGGCAGGGCCCAAGGCTTAGGGGCGAGCTGTGCCCGCTGCCTAACAGCCTCTCCCCGGCAGGTTGCAGCGAAGCAGCTCTGCCCGGCGGCCCGATGCTGGTGCCGGGGAGCGGAGGGACCTCAGCCCAGGACCTGCGGCCGCTGAAGCGCAGACCTGTCCCAGGTGAGCCGGACCCCAGCCCTGCGCCGGGGAGGTGACAGCCACGGCTGGGGTGGCAATGAGGCCAACAGATGTGTCTCCTTCCAGGGAAGCACTACCAGTGCTCAAGTTACGGCTGCAAACTGGCCTTCCCCAGCATGCAGGAGCTGATGGACCACCTGAAGGTCCACTACAGACCCACGCAGTCCCTCGAGGGTAAGGCTGGGACACCCTGTGTCGCTCTAGGGTGCCCTTTTGTTTTGGCTGGGAGGTGGCAAAGCGTGGCTGGAAGCTGAGGCAGCGGCGGTGGCGGTGCCTGTGCCTCCAGGAGATGCTGCACAGCCACGGATGGGAGTGGGGGGAGTGTGGGAGGTGCTGGAGACCCACTGATGGGGCTGCCCCCAGCCCTGGGGGGTGCAGCGCAGCTGGGCTGTTGCTGGATCTCTGCCCTGTTTCTTTGCTCAGGCAAAACCTTCCAGTGCCCAACGCTGGGCTGCACAGAGACCTTCCCCAGCATGCAGGACCTCATGGCCCACATGAAGGTGCACTACAAGCCCAACCGCTACTTCAAGTGAGTCCCGCCGGTCCCTGTCGCCATCCCGTGCCACCCTGCCATCTCCCTGCAGCCACCTCCCACTATCTGGGGGCACCCAGCAGCTCCCAAACAGCCCCGAGCACAGGGGCTCCCACCTTTACAAACCCTTTCCCCCCCCCCAACCCATCTCAGCGGCAGACCCCGGGGTCGGGGCGGGTGGGTGATGCAGGGGGAGCACCGCTGCTGATGCTGCCTCCCCGGCCCCGCAGGTGTGAGAACTGCATGCTGCGCTTCCGGACACACCGCTCGCTCTTCAAGCACCTGCACGTCTGCTCCGACAGCACCAGCACCCCCGCGCCGCCCCCCAAAGCTGACAAGCCCGTCCTGCCTGCTACCTCTGCCCTGGAGAAGGAGCCCCCGGCCAAGCCACCCGAGGGGCTTCCCAAACTCCCGAGCGTTATCCGGCCCCTGGAGAAAGAAGCCATCCTGCCCGGCGCGGACTCTGCCCCGGCGGCCCC